TGTGTGTGTGTGTGTGTGTGTGTGTGTGTGTGCGTGTTTGCGTGGCCATGTATGTGCGAGCATGAATGTATCAAGCCTCCAGAAACTGAACACGCCAAAGCATGCCCTAGACCCAACCATGGTCAGAATCTATTACTATTACCATAACACTGCATGGTCAGAATCTGTAATTATTATGTTGCATCTTGGTTAAAATTCATCTCCTGAAAAAGTGCATGGTAAGAATCTGTAACTTTGATGTAAAGCTGTTGGGTTATAATTAATTAATTCATTGCTACAAAGCTGTGTGCGTGGTCAGAATTTGTGCCATAAGGCTATAGTACGACTACTTCTAATTAAAAGCATTCCCTTCCTAGGCTCCCACTCCCGTAAAAAAAAAAACTTAAACAAAAACAAACAAACAAATGGGCAGAACAAATCGAGTGGAACACAACAAATCAAAACATAAAAAGTCTCTTTCATATCTAAAATTGAAGAAAACCCAACAAAACTAACAAAACCCCACCAACAACCAACAGCCAAAAACAAAACCTACAAACTGCATTGTCTGATATTACAACTGGAAGACTGCACGGTCAACGTTTATATTATTATTAGCTACTGATACAAAAAATAAAACCCTGCTAGATCAGAATATACATGTATAAAGCTGCAGTAATTGTTAAAATTTATAACTAAAAAATTGTAGAGTCAAAATATAAATAAAATACGCAAGGTTAAAAGTCATGAAGTAAAGCTGCATGGACAGTCTCTATATAAAGCTGTAAGGTCAATACAATGTCTACCTATGAAGCTACTTGATAAAAATTTATAGCTATAAAACTGTGAGGGTCAAAATCTAGGCTGAATTGTCAAAGGCTATAAATTATAAAGCTATAATATCAATATGGTTGCAATTTATAGTTACATGGACAGAATAATTGACTCTGCTGGATACAATCTACAAAGCTGCATTGTTTCAATTGGTAAAACTTTATGGTCAGCACTAAAATTTAGCATTTAATAAAGCTGCCTAGTCAAAATCAGTTAAAACAGCATTGCTACGATTTATAAAGCAACATTATACATCTTAAAAAGCTGTGTGGGTACAATTTTGAAAGCTGCATTGCTACACTTTATATGATAAAGATGCGTGGTAAGATTTTAAAAAGCTGTCGTCGGTAAAATTTTGAAAGCTGCATTATTACACAGGACTACACGGTCAAAATTGATACATCTGCCTGGGTAGAACCTATTACGGGGCATTGCAACAATTTATACAGCTAAACGGTTAATATTTATAAAGCTGCATTAGTACAATTTCTAAAGCTAAACGGTCACAATATATAAAGCTTGACGATGGGGCTATAAAGCAGTGTGGTAAGAATGTCTTGTTAGAAGACTTTTACTGCACAAACAAGCATACATGCACATACACACACATACATACACATACATACATACATGCATACACACACACATACACACAGACACATACACCCCACCCCCCCTCCCCACACACACATACACCCCACCCCCCTCCCCACACACACACGCACATTCACACATACACAGGAACACACTTACACCCCCCCCAATACATAAATAAAGACATAAAGGCAGCACAAAATTGAGTGGAACATAATAAAGCAAAGCACAAAAAGTATATTTCTAATCTAAGATTGAACCTGCTCCCCCCAAACAGGACCCAAAAATAAAAAAATAAAAAATACCCCCCCCCCCCAAAAAAAAAATTAATTAAAAAAACCAGCAAAAAAAACCCAACAACATAAAACGAGCAAGACAACTACCACCAAAGGCCAGACATAACAATAATATATTCCCACGAATACACAATGAAGCAGTTTAAAAGGTGTAACAATTCTTCTGCCACGAATAAATTAATGGCCCAATGGCTAAAGGTACATAGTTACAAAGAAAAAGAAAAAAAAAGTTTTTAAAATTGACACAATGTTGGTGAAAGCAGCTATTATGAATGCATTGAATGCGACTGACTGTGTGTGTGTGTGTGTGTGTGTGTGTGTGTGTGTGTGTGTATGTGTGTGTGCGTGTGTGCGTGTGTGCGTGTGTGCGTGTGTGTGTGTGTGATGATTTCTTAGTAGCCTTTTTGACCCCTGAGCTTGACGTCTAGTTGGCAATTTAAGATCTGTGCGCTGTTCCTTTTTATCTATTAATAGTATGACTAAAATATCGACGAGCGTAACCCTATCCGTACGCCCTGGGGTCATTTTGTACCCCCGGGGTAGTATTCTTCACATTTTAGAATACTTCCAGTACGAAGATCTCTTTGAAACTTTCAGTATTTCTCCAAAAATCATTTTGACAGACTGCTAAGCAGAGCGTACGGATCGGACTAACGAGTAAATTTCCATTTGGAAAGTGGGGGCTCAGAGTACCCCACGTCGTATGGATACGATAGTAAAACACTACGTACGGATATATATGTACAAATGTACACCAATTACAACGATGACACAAACAGACAATGACACGACGACAATCAATGCATAATCCAGCATACTACGGCGAACCAAGGCATAGCGCGAGATGACCAATAATTGTTTTAGTAAGAGTTTTACGGCAATTCACGAACAATGACAGAAACAGTGCACAGTAAGTGACACCATACATGCACCATAGCATAGTGCATAATGACGCAATACATGTAATAGTTTTAGCAAGAGTCTTACGGTACTTGCAACACGAACAATGACACAAACAGTGCACAGTAAGTGACACTACGCATGCATAGCACAGCACAAAGTGCACAGTAAGTGACACTACGCATGCATAGCACAGCACAAAGTGCACCGTAAGTGACACCATACATACATAGCACAGCACAAAGTGCACCATGGCGTTGCACACAATGACACAACAATTGCTTTAGTAGGAGTTTAAGGCACTTTTAACACAGTGACACGATTAAGGCTAATTAAGAGCTTAACGGAACTTGCAACACAATGACACGATTAAGAGTTTTACGGCACTTGCAACACAATGGCACAAACAGTGCACAGTGAGTGACACCATCAATGAATGCATAGCACAGCACAAAGTGCACCATGACATAGAGCTTGATATCGTGACATCATCAATGAATGCACAGCACAGCACAAAGTGCACCCGTGACATAATGCGCAAAGACACCATCAATGCAGAATTACACAAACAGTCGTGAGTGCATCATGACATATAGTGTACGAACAAAGACACACACACAGTGCGGCGCAAATAACTCGAAACAGAGCACGGTTTTGAGGTAAGAGTTCTGAGCTTGTGCAAAAAGAAGCACGTCGATCGGCATAAATGACCATTCAGCGCAGGGAATGGGAAGACATATT